TCACGTGCAGAGTTCAGCATAACGGAGCCTTGTCTAACCCTATCCGGGTAGTCGCTGGTGTGAGACAAGGATGTATACTATCACCGCTACTGTTTCTCATCGTAATCGACGAGATCATGGTAGGTGCGATTGGCCGTGTACCGAACCGTTGGCTGCTTTGGCAGCCTATCACCATGGAGCATCTCAACGACTTCGATTTGGCTGATGATGTTGCTCTACTAGCACAACGGCGCTCTGATATGCAGAGTAAGCTCAATGACCTAGCCGAACGCTCCTCTGCGGTGGGTCTCACCATCAACGTCAAGACCAAATCGTTGGATATCGACACGGGCAACCCTTCCAACTTTACGGTAGCGGGGTAAACAGTAGAGAAGGTCGAAAGTTTCCAATATCTTGGCAGCCAAATAGCGTCGGACGGTGGGACCAAGAGCGACATAGGTGCACAAATCAAAAAGGCTAGGGCTGCCTTTGCGAGTTTACGAAACGTATGGAGATCCAGCCAGATAAGTCAACGCACCAAAATCCGAATTTTCAACTCAAACGTGAAATCTGTGTTGTTATACGCCAGCGAGACGTGGTGTGTATCAGCGGAGAACACTCAAAAGCTGCAGGTCTTCATCAACCGATGCCTGCGGTATATAATTCGTGCCTGGTGGCCTCACAACTGGATCTCGAATGCCGAGCTCCATCGTCGATGTCATCAGAAGCCGATAGCAACAGAAATTCGAGAGCGAAAGTGGAGGTGGGTCGGCCACACACTTCGACGGGGCGGAAACGAAATCTGCAAGCAAGCGCTGGATTGGAATCCGGCAGGACATCGCAGCAGAGGCAGACCCAGGGGCTCATGGCGGCGGAGCCTCAATAAGGAAATTAAGCAAGTCGATAGGAATCTGACCTGGGCCCAGGTCAAGGCAAAAGCGAGCAGCCGCCCAGGATGGAAGTCTTTCACGTTGGCCCTTTGCACCGCTGGTGGTGCACAGGACCCTTAAGTAAGTAAGTAATTCTCCATTGCTCATAGGTGCAATGCAAATTCATCTAATAAATTTATAGAATTGTATTAAGAAAAGATTAATTTTGAAGATTATTCCACTCCTAAAGGTATAATATTTATATTGCCATAGGTTGGACAGTCAAAGAATTTTTACATCAATAAAAGAAGCACCATTCCAGAGGATGCAGGGCCCAACCCTAGAATGGCTCTGTAGTGAATGTTTTTGGATAGTCGCGATGGTAGAAATAAGCAGATATATGATTTGCCTTGAGATAGTTATATTAAATAATGATCCCTCCACTTGTATGCACATATGGAATCTTTTAGCAGTCGTTGTTTGTCTCCGAGTTTTCAGATAAAGAAATTCAAGACCCATAACATTATCTGTACAAGGACAGGCAGTATGCCTTACAGGAGATGACCACTGCGACCTTCCTTCCGGCCAGTTGGTTGAATCTGTTGGGATTGGGGTAACATCTTTAATTCGGCTAATCTTCATAGAAAAGCGTATCATTAGTTCTGGAGTCTTGATGTGGTTACTGGTACACTTCAATGTGTAGATCCATCATAAAGGATTAGGGCGATGCCTCATCAAGACTAGCCTGATCGCCGATGGACACGAGAAATGATTTCCTTTCTAGACAGATCAGTGGGTCCTGGACTCCTCGCATGACAGTTTTGTTCTTCGATAACCAGGAAGTTTATATGGCTAGGTTTGGAGAAATGGAAGTGTAGCAAAAAACAAATTGACACTGTCACTACCACTCAACAACACTAGTGCTAATAAGCGCACACTATAATTTGATGCACCAGTTTTTGGCCGCACTATAATATCATAAAATAAAGGGAAATGTTGTATTGGTTCGTAACTCGTGATAATAACTTACCTTTTATCTTCACGTTTAAGCATTAAGATCATCAAAATTTTCTATGTTTTGTTAAAAACATCGTGAAACAGAAAGCGGCGCTGATGGTGTAGTGGTAAGCGTGATTGCCTCTCACCCCAAAAGGCCTGGGTTCAATCCTAGTCGGCGCCGCCGGGATGTTCTGAGGCATAACATCTCTGATCACGCCTTCCTTCGGAAGGGAAGTAAACCCGTTGGTCCCCGGTTCATGAGTTGATGGGTCGATAGGTAGGGTCCAGGTCTAGGAGCTGCATTCCTGGCGTCGGTAGCAATGGTGCTCAGCACGGAAAACAAGATCAACGGAAAACAAATCAAGGACGGCTAAGAAAGCAACCCATATAGACAAGAAATGTTTGGAAATCACTTTAAAGCTACTGAATTGAGGCATGGTGATACATGTTACTCTGCTGAAATACGGTCAAAGCCAAATATATCAATTTTATCTTATTATTAGCTATAATTCCCGCTAAGACCAAATACTGGAGCTAGTCCCAAAACTGGCTCACCTACCCTACATGGAATATTTTCATTCAATAAAGTGTTAAAAAAGTAAAATATCTCAAACCTTCAAATTTATTATTTTGATATCTTATCAATATTTAAAACCATGGAGAAATCAAAGATATCTAATTAACAAGATATCCCACTAATCAATTCCTCATACAAGGCATATAATTACCACCCGTATGTGATCGCAGTACCATCTGTTGCGTGCACATTGAAACTGTTGGGAGTTCCCCGCCAACTTCACCACGGGAGCTCAATAATTGACAGGTGTCAGCATGATAGATGTCAATGCGGACGTTGATGATCAGCCGAGGAAAGAGGACGATATCATCCTCGAAGTCTTCATCATTATATTGCGATAGCAAGATTCTTACTTGTTTGTGATTGTTCTGATGTTCAATCATTACCACTTTATACGCAACAGAAACACTTGAGAAAACAATCACACATCCAAGCGCGCATCATGATGTGCTTGTAATATGTTTTGCTTTCGAGCGAAAGAGTTTCCATTATACCACCGGTATCAGTAAGATGCAAATCTCTAATAGTAATTGATGATTTGTGGAGCTGGTGCTCAAAAGAATCTTAATAAGCATAGATGTAAACATGGGAAAAGCATTCACTCTCTATAAAGAATTATTCCAACACCCCAGTCACTGGAAATTATCGAAATCATTGCTAAACGTAATAAAATATACCGTATTCTTTGGCCAACGCAGCACGCATTCTATTCAAAAATTACATTGGAATAATCATTACTTTCCTATTTTATAACGTAGGAAGTATTTGTCAACGCCGGTGAAAGCAAACGCAAACGGCAGTAGCCGAAGCTGAATGAAGACGATGAATGATGACACCGCTTCGTGTTTTGATTTGCGCTGTACCGTCCGCTCAGTTGAGTGGGATCGTAAATGTATAGATATTGGTGTGCGTGTTTTCTTCCAACGCTGTAGTTCAACGTTGTCACGTCACAAACCGTTTGGCGCTGTTATCTGTCTCTAAAAAAAATCCAAAGAGTGAAGGGGGTCTGGAGGAATGCTAATTAACAAAACTCCTAGAACAAAAACTGATTGTTAAAAAATGTTGTTTCTAACTTTTCTTAAATTTATTTTTTACATAGGAAACAACATTTCAGATATCCTAAATCGTCATCTGTTAAAAAATTGCATAAATTTTTTAAAAAAAGCTTTAAAATATGACTAAATGTTGGTTTTCTACGATTTTTGTCAATTTTCATGGTTTTAAATTCTCCAAAATGTATTTAAAACATATTTTATAAACATTGAAGATACACCTTTTGATATGTTGCAATTTTTAACACTATTTTTGAATTTTTACTCAAAACTACTAAACAAATTTACCGTTTATATTTTTTCCCAGAAATACCGAGGGGAGCAAATCTATCTACGATGCAGGAAAGAATATGTTTTGCTGTGGTTAGCTGCGTGAAAGCTGAGTAGATAGAAAGAAGATTTCCTGCAAAAAGATGATGCGCGATGCAAGTAGATGCGAGAAATTAACGAAGATTTTCCGAAGATTGATTCGCTAGTGGGAGCATCTAAAAATGAGATTAATATGTGTCGCCCCCCTTGAGAAAGACTTTACTTTTCTTAGCAACTTGGTTTAAGACACACGAGTGGAACTCAGAAAGTGGCTCCACTTGTCATTTGCGAACACTAGCGCACCTAGCGGTAGAAGGCATCTTCTACCTGCAGTTAAGATATGCAGCAGGCTATGATAGTGTGAGTGCACATAGAAAGCCCGTGTGGAACGCTACCACAACGCATTGCTTGTTGAGCAGAAAAACGAACCACTTTTTGATTCATAGATTTGTTTGCACTTCCCTTTCTGTTCTGTGTTTAAGACGTAATTTTGATTGATTTGCTACAATTTATTGAAAATTGTCTAAGACGCCATTTTGAAAAATATTACAAGATCCAAAATGGACGATTTTTTGCACAAATGTGAATGATTACCCAATTATGTCAAGTTTCATGCAAATTGGAGAAACGCCGAGTCGATTTATTTTTAATTTTATATCCCATATATGTATCTACTGGAGTACTGAGAAAAAAATATCAGGTGAAAGTTGCCCCACTCATTCCTGGGTCTCGATGCAGACGCATTATATTCCACAGCAAAGCCGGTTGTACACAGCAAAAAAAGTTGTTGAATATTACATCGAAACTGCTGCAACCAGGTCAATCCATCGGTTTTGTAATATCACATTGTACGATGTACATCGATTTTGCGAACAAAATAACATCCATTGATGTAATATTGTATCTGCATTTTGCTATTACATCATTATTTCATACATCAGCTTGAATTACGTTGATCGATATTACATTTTTTTTTGCTGTGTATGCTATTCCACCCCTTTTCATTTGCAGCATATAGCGAGCACCAACTCAGCCCACAGTGAAAACGAGTTGAACAGCTGTACGGCGGGCATCCTCGCTCGTAAAGCGGCCTTTTACATATCGCCCGCCTCTCCAACCTATCCAACTGACAGCCCTGTCAAACTGTTGCTGTTGTTGTCTTTCGCAGTTTCATTTGCAGCAGCATAAAAATGCAACATTCATCGCCGTCGTAGACGTCGCCTGATGCTGGGAAAATGAAAACATCGGAAACGAAACTGGCAATCAATTCACTTCCATCCGTCGCGCTTTCAACATCGCGAAATTTGTAGTGTTGCTACTCGCGGGTTAAACTAGAGTGTTGGATGTGCTTTGTGGTGCATTCGCGGTATAATAATGTGTGGGCATTGATTTTTCGGTGTGCCACTGTCTGCTGTGAGTGGATATGTATATTGTGTGCGATTCTTGACGAATCGAGTGGCGAAAAGTGATGATAATAGCGTTGGAGTATTTGCGATTGCCATAAGAAACGGGTCGTATTTTCCAGGTACTTGAGATACTGAATTCCGTCTGACGGTATGTGATCGGGAGTGCTGAATGGGATCTATATAGCAAAGTGCAGTTTTGTAAAGGAGAAATGCAAATGGTTACCTATATGTAGTAGAAAGTGGATGCTTCGAGCTGGCAACCACCAGCATGCACGGGTGGCTAATTAATCTAATTTTATGCTGTCATAGTGCGTGAAGACGAATATTTAGTGTTCCTAGAATCCGAAAAGGGTGTGTTCTAGTAGGTTATTGGTGTTGAAATACCATCTGTTCTTCGCATCATCGTTACCTATAGTGACAAGTGACAAGTGCGTGGCCAAGAAGAGCAATAAACCTATATAGCAACAAATCCGACCACAATTAGAGTTGTAGTGAATGAGAAAAGTGCACTTGTTTTGATCTCGTAAGTTTATGGAGGAGAAAGTGGCTGTCGAGAGAAAACGGGAAACAATGTCACGGCGCATAAATCTGATCGGAGTGTGTGCCATCAGCGGGTTGTGCATCTTGCTGCTGTTCGCGAGCCACCGGTTTACGTCCAATAGCTACACGACGGAGTACTTTAAACCACGGGAACGCAACGCCAACCTGCGGCTGCTAAATGCACATAAATTCTACGGGTAAGTTGAATCTAGGCGAACGGCCGATCGAAGAGCGTTTTCGTTGCTTTGGCCTGAATAGAGCTCGATATGGAACGGGCCTCGGTGAAAGGGCAACGACGGAAGGGAAAGTTGTTTTTATGAGGTTTCAGAGGTTCATTTGAACTCTGTTGAACCGAGAGACATGTGGAAGCCTATGATGTGTGGTTTTGCCTCACTGAAAAATTAAGTGCATTGTTACAAGTAGATGACGGTATATGAGTGTAAGATTAATTCACCGTCATTTGCAGTTGCCTATTAAAATAAGCTTGTATTTGTTTACAAACGGCTGCATAACACATTTGCGAGAAAACTCACAACTTACGAGTTTTGTTTTTGTAGACACATGGCACTGAACAATATTTGTTCTCCTGCAGTACAGGGAGATTAGGATGAATTATGTATTGTGTATGAACCACGTAAAATTAATTACATACAATAAAACTCTGGAACTGCTGGAAGATTACGATAGCAGTTATGGTCTAAATACACATGTTGTTGTTTCATAAGATAAGATTAGGAAAGTTAAATCTAGTGCCTATCGGCATGTGTATTTCTTTAGCTAATAATCATACCTGACTCAGTCATTTTAGTGCTAACTACATAAGGCTAATATTAAACAATTGAAGACAATAAAAAATTTGGTTGACATACAATCATCCATTTGTCCAATCATATGGAATACAATTACAACCTGTATTAAAAGTACTTTAAACACTCGAGCACTAATGTCGCTGTACAAAGAATAACAAAATAGCAAAGAACTGTTCAGCTGAGACTGTTTTGTTATAAATGGATATATTAAATCGATATTTGCAGTAAATTTAAGAGGCTACCGGGTTTCAGAACTAGCCATAAAGTAGCAATCATATGCTGTTGTGCTTTCTACAACGCAAATGGCTAATGGCAGAAATTAGTCTAGCATCTACCAATATCTTGTATCCACTTCGTTTTTCAAGGCTCAAATTTCCAGACTTTGCAGAGCCGAATTACGAATATTTACATTTTACATACATATTTAAATGGTAAAAAAATATTCTAAATTCACATTATGAGTTCTTAAGCTTCCTGGGAGCCGATTCGGTTCTGCTATCTGCCGTGCCCACAACTCCTTGAAGGTATTATACTACTACTTCGCATTTCAAGCTTATTGTGTATCGCATAGATCGCGTGTTCTAGATGCACTTCCACAGTTATTAATTGAGAATTTTCGATGCCTGTACAATTTTTGCATTAGTATTATTGTGTGGCAATTACGATCATACTCTATGCCCAGGAAAGATGATCAATTTTCCAATCCGAAAAATCCCGAGACCAGACCGGGAATCGACCCCAACCACCTCCTGCATGGTAATTTTTTTAATAGCTGCGCCTTTTCCGACTGAGCTAAGGGCAATCCTTAAGTACCACGCACAATTGATCTGTTTGTGATACTTTAAAACAAATTTGACAGTTAACCCATGGGTGGCACTTTATTTCTTCTAAAAGTTTTTCTCGGTATGATTCATTAATCCAAACTTGTAATATAGCAGTAGGTGGATACTTTTTGAGATAGGGGAAATGGATGTAATGTCGTCCTAAATGCCCCTAATTTGGGACCATACATACATTCAGCAATCGACTAAATTTTCAATAGCGACCAAAAATAGCCATTAGTACCGTCCCAATGACGCGTTCATCTTGATAAACTTGATAAATAGCAGATTTTTAGCGATGGGCCCAATCCCCTATTTCAGTTTTTAACACTGTTTTAAATTTTTACTGAAAATTAAAAAATTCTACTACCAGAACTACTTTACTTTTCTAACCAAATTTGTGTCAGACGTAATTTCGATCAGAACTGACGTTTAAGTTTTATAATTTATTGATAAAAATGGCAGACACCATTAAAAAAAAAACAAGATCCAAAATGGCTGAAATTTCACTAAAATTTGAGTGATTGCCTATAACACACAATTAAGAAAAGTTTCATGAAAATCTGAGAAAGTCGAGTCTTAAATTTTTATCCTATTAGGCCTGGAATTGTTCAAATGTATTCTTAAAACATTCAGAGGGATGATTTAAAGCTTTAGAAAAGAAGTGTTTTAACTATTATTATCATGTTGCAAAGAGTTTTAACAGATCTCATGAACAATATAGACATTTTTTTCTTGAATAAAAAAAATAAAAAAAAATTAAATTTTTCTTGTGTAATAATTGCTATTCACACTCCTTTGAAGATATTATTTTTGAGACATTTTATTTTTTAACAATTTTCTGGAATTGTTATTCGAAATTCAAAAAAAAGTTACCGTGTATATTTTTCCCATAAAGACTTTACTTTTCTTAACAACTTTGTCTTAGACGTCAGTTCGATCAGAAGTAACGTTTTCGTGCTACATTTTATTGAAAAATGGGGGGTTAACATCCAAACCTCTCACGCCAAAGTCACGAGTTCAAATCTCACCCCCGGACAAGTCACCGATGACCCAAGAGTGTTAAAGTGACAATAATAAAAAAAAAATATTGAAAAATGCCAGTCACAATTTTGAAAAAAAATCCCAAGATACAAAATGGCCGAACTGTTGCTAAAATGTGAATGATTGCACATAACAAACCCTTATGTAAATTGGAAATTGGAAGAGTTTGAATAAAAAATGATTTATTTTTGTGCTATTTGGCCTGAAACTTGTCCAGAGTAGCACAACATTTAAAACAAGATGCTGGAATTAAAAAGCTTGAGCATGAGCTAATTTATAATAATCCATATTTAGATGTTTAATATTCTAAATTTGCCAATTTTTAATAATCACGAAAAAATATTACAATCCTAGAGGATCTAGACTAAGAATCTTTGATACCATGGGGTTTGAAAAAATGGCTTCAAACGTAATAAATATAAACCCCTGATTTGAAAAAAAAATCTGTGCATAGAAAAATGATCAGTTACAAAACCCAAACAAGAATTTGAGTTGTAGGAGGTGAGAAAATGGTAAGATCCAGGAATTGTAGGTGCAAATTTTCAATATTCGTAAGCATTGAAATGTTCATACATTTCAAACACACCAAGATTCCGGGAATGAAATACTTTATTAGATCCAAAAGTTGAATTTATCTCCAATCACTTATTGTACAAACTTGATTGTAGCTTTTAGAAATCTAACATGTTGCTCAGAAATATTTGAATCTATTTAAATAATTCCCCAAAAAGCCTGAGTTTAATCCCAATCGGCCCCGCCGGGATGTTCTGAGGCATAAAATCTCTGATCACGCCTTCCTTCGGAAGGGAAGTAAAGCCGTTGTTCCTCGGTTCATGAGTTGATGGGTCGATGGTAGGGTCCATATTTGAGAGCTGCCTCCCTGGTACTCAGCACGGAAAACAAGATCGACGGAAAAACACATCAAGGATTTAAAATATTTATTTAAATATTTATCAAATACTGAAATGGCCCAATTTTGTCAGCGCATCAGATTTGTATCTTTCAATAGTTTCACATAACCGTAATTCCAAATCTTTCTCATTCGTCATTAAGATGTATGTTTAACCTTTTAGATAACCAGTTATAGCTCTCGAACTATACCATGTAGAAAGATGCAGTCTTGAGCATAGTTGTTCAGTTGGACAATACCCGTGTGGCAAAGGCTAGTGCCTAACTAATTATGGAGACCAGATGTAAGCTTCGTGTCTTCAATGAAGTTGTTCAATTGAACGAAACTCATTCAGTAGTGATTAGGTTAGTTGGAAATTGATTCACTAGGTGCCACCAGATTGCAATCAAACATCTTCTATTGATATCTCAAGATCAAGACCAGATAGAAGTTTTATGTTTTCAGCAAAGTTGTTCAATTGGACAAGATCCGTTTATTAGTGGTTAGTTTAGTTGTAAATTGGCTCACTAGATGACACCTGAGTGCAAATAAACTTCTTTCCGTGATAACTCAAGATCGAGACCAGATAGAAGATTCATGTTTCCAGTAATGTTGCTCAATTGGATGAAACTCATATAGAAGTACCTAATATAGTTGAAAATTGACTCACTAGGTGGCTCCAAGTGTAAATTAACTCACTAGGTGGCATCAGGGTACAAATAAACTTTTTCTACCGATAAAATGTGTGCTGCTTACTTTGCGCCAAGGAAAACTCGCCTTTGAACTCAAGCTTTTGTGTATGTACTAATGAATGTCGCTGGAACTAATGTAAAAGTTATTTATATGGAATCTTCCAAGGCAGAAGCAACTCGAAGCATTTTCTTAAATCATCTTGCTTTGGGTCTGATGAAGGAACACATCCCAGGGACGATCGAAAATCCCAACGCTGCCCTGCGATGTGATTTTTTTTGCGCAACCATCTAAACGTTGAAGTGGAGGATTTCCAACCCTTGCCGGATCGTGATAAGGACAGATGCAAAACTCATCAACCACAATCCGTTGTGGAACATGCAACAGATTTGTTTGCAGAAAGCACCCAACAATAGTGGCAAAATGCGAAGGTTGTCAATCCGAATATGACTGATTGCACTCAGCAAATGTTAAGTTCGTTATTATTTTGTATTCATGATTTTTGTTATTAAACTCTAACAATAAATTAAACACTAACAATTAAAGAAAAATCTTTTATTTGCTTAACCTGTCCACAAAAAAAAAATCAATTTCATATCACATGCTCCATTTCCATCTCCAGTTCTTGTCTCAATCGATTACAATATTTTACTAAAGAACTATTTGGTATCGAGCGTGAATTTTCACTTGAATTTTATTTGTACTATGGCACCACGTTGTGAGTTAATTCTCAACTAAACTTCACTACTGAACAGGTCTCATCCATTTGAACAACTTTGCTGGAGATAGTAACTTTCTATATGGTCTTGATCCTGAGTTACCACTAGTTGATATTTATGTATACTCTTGCGTCGCCTACTAAACTTCTTACTTCTAAACGGGTCTTGTCCACTTAAACAAATTTGTCGAAGGAAGGAAGTTTCTACCTGGTCTCGATCCTGAAT